CGCACACACAACAGTTAAAAGCTGCATGGTGAAGGTGCCATGTAAGCACTAAGCTGCGAATATCATCATCAGCGCTTCCTGGCTGAGTTCATTTTCTTGAGGTCGCTCACCGCAGCGTCGAAATTATCGACCGCAGCTGTGACCTCGTCTAGCTTCGCGAACTCATGCCTCCACGTGGCAGTCGATACATTTTTCTTCACGTATTTGTTGAAGTCTTCCTGAAGGACCCACTCGGTCCAGAAGTTCGATGCTTTTTTCAAGCGCTCCACTTCGGCCTGGGCATCTGTGATCTCCTTCAGCGTAACAGGGTTGTTCGCCCACGACCAAGACGTGTGTTTACGTACGATTTCCAGCAAGTCAGTAGCCGATGCCGACGTGGCCATCATCTTAGCCTTGAGCTGTTTGGCCTTCGCCAGGTTCGCCGCGAGCTCCTTCTTCTCCGCATCCTCGTCACCAGGCGTGGCGTCGGCGTCGGGAGTCGTGTCCTTGCGCACCCTCTTGGTACTCTTGCCAGTGGCTGGCGGCCGAGCCGCTGAATCGGGGTTGCCCCTCTTAGTCGAGGCGCCGGCACCAGTGGCCTCCTGGTCACCATGACCAGCGTTTTTTTCTCCACTGCTTGCAGCACCATCACGTTCACCAGTACTGGTGTCACTCCCCAGGACCTTCTCGACCTTGACCGTCTTCCACGCCCTCTCGAACTTCTCCTTGAACTGCGTCTTGATGTACAGCACCTCGTACCGCTCGGTCATGTCGTTCCACTTCACGAAGGGCTTGCCACCGAGCGTCTTGCCCTGTGAGAAGAAGAGGCAACACTTCCACGCGTAGACCGCAGCCGCCCTGACGCTCTTCTCCTTGTCTGCAACAACTGCGACAGGCTCGTATGTGCCGATGGTCAGGTCCGTCGTGCTGTGCTTCTCGGTGGTCATCCTCTCCTCGCGAAGCTGCTCGGCTTTCAGAGCTAACCACTTCTTGCGAAACTCTCGCTGGGCGCTGTATGATTTCCCGACCGCCTTGTAGTCCGCTTCGAGCTGCTTGTCCCCTGCCTTGGCCTTCGACCACACTTGGCCGACGGTCCCACGCATGTCGAAGTGGCCGCCCTTTTCGATCTCGTCGTGCACCGCCTTCTCCAAGCTGCTCCAAGCACTGGGGAGGAGCTCGGGCGCGAGCTCAGTCGGTGGCGGCGCCCCTGCTGGGGCTGCAGCGCTGGGCGCTCCAGACTGGCAGACTCGAGCGATTGCAACCATCCTCGCCTCCATCTCGTCACCGAGCGCCTCGGCGCCACGCCCTGAGACATCCATAACCGAGTTGCGGGGGAACGCGTCGACGATGCCAGTCTGGCGCGCCACCTGACTCCCGACGTCTTCACCGTGGCCCTCGGTCTTCTCGACCGTGCATGCGGCGGCCTCGGCGCCAGCGCCGTCGCCGTTCCCCACTGCCATGTTCGGGTCGCGCTGAATTGCACAAAAACAAAAAGCACGCCTGCTTGATGCCGAAATCGCTACGGAATGGTGTTTGCATTTGTGATATGCATGAATGTGGTGATGATGATGATGACGATGCTGATGATAAAAGTGACCATGATGACCATGTTGCTGACAATGATGATGACGATAACGACGTTGGCTGTCATGGTGGTGATCATGATGCCGTTCATGATGATGGCGTGGCTGCGCCGAACATTTCTTGTTCCAAACCACGTGGTGCTCAGGCTCCCCTCCTCCTACTCCCCCTCCTCCTCCTCCTCCTCCTCCTCCTCCTCCCCCTCCTCCTCCCCCTCCTCCTCCACCTCCTCCTCATCCTCAGACCAACTCGCAACAATCGCACCGCGCACTCTGCCAGGGCTCTACAGTGATGGTGATGACGATGATGATGTATGACGTTGGTGTTGGCCTCCGAACATGATGATGATAATGGTGATGATGTGTATGGTGATGATGGTGTTGATGATTGTGATGGTCACTGAAATGGCGATGTCGATGATGGCGGTGATGACGATGGGCATGATAAGTGTGATGCGAATGGTTATGGTGGTGATGTTGACAATGACGAAGACGATGTTTTTTCCCCACTGAACTTTCAATCAATGCGCGTTCACGCGCATTGGCGCACCGATCCCAGTGCCGAGCGAGACTGCTGAGAATGCTCTGGCGCGTCGGCAACCCGTATCGCGAGACCGCCCTCAGTCCCACAAATCGCCAGGCGGTCCACTCATCTCGCCGCTGCTCGGCCCCGAGGCCGACGAAGGGCCAGCCGAGGTCTCAGTTAAGGTCGGGGCACCCGATTTGACCTGAGTGGACTTCTGCTCGTCGACCGCGCTGCTCTTGGCAGCTTTCGGCGTCGCAGTGGGCTCGGCTGCAGCTGGGCGCTTCTTCGGGTTAGGCGCGCTCTTCTTCTTCGGCTTCGGCTGCTCGGCGTAGCGCATCTTCTCGTCCCGCACCTTGGTAAGATCCGCCTTCGTGACACCCCCCCCTTCCCAGACTTCGGCGAGCTCGATCGCCAAGGTGAGCCCCTTCATGGTCTGGTCCCAAATGCTCGGCAACTCTGCAGCTCCAGGTACATCCGCCAGCTTGATCTGCAGGACCTGGAACTTGGAGCCCTCCAGGTAGTTATGCTCGAAGATGATGAGGAGTGGCGAACGGTCGGCCCTCCTCGCGATCGTCAGCCCACGATTGTCGTCGATGATGGCTTCCCAGAGGGGGCCCCTGGAAGCGTTGAGCTCGACGTTCTTCATGACCCTGAACTCCTTGACCGACAGGTCGGGAATGGGCACGGTGTCGCCGTCAGTGAACTTCGCTTTCACGAAGTCGTCGTCTGCTGTGGCCTCGCCGATGTAGATGTCACTGGTGAACGTCTTCATGTTCTGCTTGTCACTCGGCGCCCTCCACGCCTGCTTGGTGTCGAAGTCGAAGCCGTAGAAGTAGTTGACGTCGTCGTTCGGCGCGTCGTCCTCGGCCACCTGCGCGCCATCCTCGCCCTCGTCGTTCTCAGCCTCGTCGCCGCTTTCGTGGTGATCCTCTTCCTGGGCGCCCTCGTCGCCAACGTCGGCATCGGCGCCCTCGCCAGAGGGCTCTTCGTCATGCTGGCCCTCGGGCAGAGTCAAAGACACAGCCCAAGCAGGCGCCGACTGCTTGCACAGCGCCTGCCCGATGTCCCTGCCCATGGACCGAAGCCGACCTGCAACTGTCACGACCCAGTCCCGCACCTCCTCCTTCGAGAGCTCGCGCTGCCACTCGCCAGACTTCTTCTGGTACACATGCTCGAGGGCCGACTCCATAGCGCGCTTCGTGAAGGAGGCGTTGCTCTGGATCTCGAGAAGCTCCCTCCACATGCTGGCGTGATCGTTGATCTTCTTGGGCTCCACCTTGCTGCCGTAGGTGACGAAGTCGGGCTTCGTCGCGTATTTTTCCAAGACGGTCGCCACGGCCTCGGGGTCTTGGCAAGTGCTCCTGGTCATGTCGGACGCTCGCCGCGCACTGGGAATGCGTGCTCGGGCTGCACCATTAAATGCTCGAGCCTAACAGGCAAAGGCGAAGATGATGATGACGATGACAGTGACGATGAAGGCAATGATGGCGATGAGGGCGATGATGACGATGAAGGTGATGATGACGATGAGGGTGATGATGGCGATGATGGCGATGATGACGATGAAGGCGATGATGACGATGATGGCGATGATGACGACGATGATGCTGGCAAGCCGGAAGGAGGCAGAGGATGAGGAAGAAGAGGAGGTGGATGATGATAAGTAGTAGGGGAGGGGAAAAGGAGGAGGAGGAGGAGGAGGAGGGGGAGGAGGAGGAGGAGGAGGAGGAGGAGGAGGAGGAGGAGGAGGAGCGATCAGGAGCGATCAGATGAAAGGACAGCGTACGTCCACCAACGGCGCCATGGACCGCATGAGGGTTAAAACTGAGGCCCCAGATTGGCCTCAGTTTTAACCCTCGGAAGTGGCAACATGAGCCACTCCCTCGGGGGGTGGAACGCGACCACTCGTCGACGTCGTCTGGGTCGTTCCACCCCCCCTTGCACCGAGGCCAACAAGTCCTTGTGACTCCGCCTCTCTCACCGCTCTTGGCGGTCCTCTTCCTCGTTATCCTCTGCCTTCTCATGATCATCCTCTTCCTCCTCGCTCTTCCTTCCTCCTCGTCCTCATCCTCCTCGTCCTCGTCCTGCTCCTCCCGCTGCTCGAGAATCCTGCTCTGTTTCCTACTCATTGCTACTCCGTTTCTCCTCCTCCTCTTTCTCCTGTCCACCTTTTCCCACTCCTCCACCTGCCCCATCCCCCTCCTCTTCCTCCGCCTCCTCCCCCTCCTCCTCCTCGCCCTTCCTCCTCCTCCTCCTCATATTTCTCGCAACGTGGGCATACAAATCATTGTGTTTTGCAGCTGCAACGCAGAATTGCGAAGACGTCGTCGCGCGAGATCCATGCGCCGCGCCAACGCGTTAATATTTCTTATACAAGAAATTATGTTTTATATAAGACACATGCGCGCGTGTCTTGCATGCAAGACACAGAGGACCTCTGGGCTGCGGCGCCCGCCCGCCGGCGCCTCCGGGGCAAGCAGCCGCCTCCCGCGGCGCCGCCTGCTCCGCCGCCGGCCCCTCACGTGGACGACGCCTACGCTGGCGGAGCTGGAGGCCGGGGCGCCTGGGGCGCCCGGCGCCTGGGGCTTGGGCCCAGGAGCCAGGCACGCAGGCGGCAGGAACGCCACGCCACCCACCTAGTCGCTCCGGCGGCTGCAGCAGGAGGAGGCAGAGGAGGAGGAGGAGGTGGAGGAGGAAGAGGAGGAAGAGGAGGCGGCGAGGGAGGTGGCATCGAGGGCGAGGAGGCAGGAGGCGAGGGAGGTGGAACGGGAGGAGGCCCCCACGCTTACGCCACTGGTGACGAGCTTGCGCCCTACCTGAAAGATGGCCCCGGGTGCGCATTCTGTGGCGGTAAGCACAACAGTCCCTGGGCATATCGTCGTGCAGCTCCCTTCCGAGTGTGGCTCGGCGCGGTCATGCACAAAGTGGCCCGGAAAAACACGGACGCAGAACGGCAGACCTGGTCGTACGCGTGTCTTTCCTGCGCACATCCCTGGCCCTCCCTCCGTGCCGTCGCTGCACACAAGGTGCAATGCGATCTCCGCCGTGCCGCAGCTGGTCTCCCCAGGGTCGGACCGGCCGGAGCGGCCGTCCATGGCTGCAATTGGCGGGGGAGCCGGGGCCGCGGACGGGCTCGCAGCCGCGCGCGCGGCCGTGGCGGCGCGCCGCCAGCGGGCCGGGGACGCGGAGCAGGCCCGCGGGGAGGTGCCGGCGCGCCGGCGCGTGCAGCCCCGAGGCTTGCCGCGGGAGGCGTCCGCGCCGGCCGCGGCCGCGGCGGCAGGAGATGCCGCCATGCCGCAGGCCGCCGGGCAGCTGGCCCTGCCAGACCCCGCTGCGCCCGCTCCCGCCGGGCGGCTGGCCCTGCCGGCCCCCGCTGCGCCCCGGGCGGCTGCTGCCGCTGCTGGCGCTGCTGGCGGCGCTCCCGCTGCTGCCCCCGCCCCCGCTGCCCCCGGCGGCGGCGCGGCCCGGCCAGCCGGCAAGGGCGGCGCCAAGGGCGGCCGCAGGCGAGGAGGCGGCGGCGGCGGCCAGGGCGCAGGCGGCGGCAAGGGCAAGGGGCACGGCGGCAAGGGGCGAGGAGCCGGCCGCGGCCGCGGGCTCCCCGGCCCCATGGAGGAGGTCGTGGAAGCGCTGGTCGCCCTCGGCATCAGCCACGAGCGGGAGCTCAACATGCACACCGACCGCGTCGGCGCTTTGGTGGTGCTCAAGGACGAGGAGCTCATCGACGAGGTGTGGGAGCTGCGGAGCGCCTGGCGCCAGGCCGACAAGGACCGCAAGGAGCAGCAGCCAGCCGACGGCCCCTTGCCCCCGCATCCCATGGGCAGCCAGCGCAGCATGCTCTTCAAGGCGATCTGCGAGTGGACGGCGGGCAAGCTGCAGGAGGCCGACCCGGGCAAGCAGGCTGCCACCGACCTCGCCGCGATGCCGGCTGCAGAGGTCGACGCGTCCCTCTTCCGCTTCAAGCCGCGCCACGAGGACCCGATGGCCGACAGCCCTGGGTATTCATCATCGTGTATTCGTTGCGGGTGCAGCCGGCCTTCCTGGATGCCCTCGCGGCCGTCCAGGCCGTCACCGTCCCTGGCGTGCGGTTCGGTGTGCTCCACACGGACGATGGCCCGATCGTGCAGTATCTCCGGGGAGCGCGCTGATGCGGCGCACCACCATCGCAGCGACGGCTTCATCATCTGCCGCGTCACTCCATCGGCAGCAGCAGCAGCAGCAGAGGAGGAGGCAGAGGAGGCTGGGGAGGAGGAGGCAGAGGAGGAGGCACACCCATCCTGCTGCTGGAGGAGGAGGAAGAGGAGGAGGAGGCGAGAGCGGCACCCGCAGCCCGACGGCCCCGGAGCCGGAGGCTGGCCCCCGGTGCTGCTCGCCTGTGCGGTCCTCCTGGCACGCCCGGCCCGGCCCCCACGGGGGCGCGCGCCGGCCTGCACGGCCGCCTCGGCGGCGCTGGCGGCGGCCCGCGGCAGACGCACGCCGCCGCCCGCAGGCCGGCGCCCTGGCCGGAACGGCAACTACAGCGAGACCCCACCCCACGGCACGCCCCACGCGCGCAGCGGCCGGCGCGGGCCCCCGGGAGGCAGGGCATCTACGACGCCGCCGTCGGCGTCGCCTGGGTGCAGGCCTTTCTCGTGGCCCTGCTGGCGGGCTTTGAGTGCTACCACATGCTACTGCAAAACCCTCAAAAAGACGGGCCGCGGGCGCAAGCTCAGGGGGTCCGCGCCGCGATGCCACGTGCAAGGCGCACCGTTGTGACCCAACACTACTCGACGGAGGGCCGCCGCCACAGCCTCAGGCTGGCGCGAGATCAGAGTTCGAGTGCCCCCCATGCCTGTTCTGTAACACCAGCGGTGCCTATACCTGCACGACCACCCTTCGGGTGTTAAGGAGGTTCGGGGGGGGGTGAGGAACCAACGTCTCACTCGATCGGTCTCACTATCGATCTCACTATCGATCTCAGTATCGGTCTCGCTCGATCGGTCTCACTTGATCGATATCACAATCGATATCCCTCGATCTATTTCATTCGATCGATCTCACAATCGATCTGACTATCGATCTCACAATCGATCTCACTATCGATCTCACTATCGATCTCACAATCGATCTCATATTCGGTCTCACTATCGATCTTACTATCAATATCACAATCGATCTCACAATCGACGTCATCATCATCAACACCATCGTCATCAACGTCATCAACATCATCAACATCCGCGGCCTGCGGGACAGCGCGCCTGGCGACGACGAGGTCACGATCGGTATGATCAAGGCCGCCGGCGAGCCTGTGCTGGCTGAGGTGCGTCGCCTCGTCCGCCTCTTTTGGGGCATTCCCAACGAGCAGTGGGCCGACGTGCTGGGGCAGGAACCACTGCGAGCCGTGGTCATTCTGCTCTTCAAGAACAAGTGCTCCCTCTCATACCTCGACAACTATCGCGGCATTTGCCTGCTGAGCATGCTGTCTCGCATCGTTGCCAAGGTGGCCGCCACGCGGGTCTCCAAGTGGGCCGAGGCGTCAGGATTCCACGTGCGCGAGCAGTGGGGCAACCGCAAGTACCACTCTACACGAGACGCGGTGCTGGTGATGCGCATACTGTTCGAGGAGAGCACTCGGGTTGGCACGATGGTTTCTGACGGTTCCCTCGCCGCAGTGCTGGTCGACGTCAAGAAAGCGTTCCCCAACGTGCCGAGAGCCCTCTGCTGGAAGGTGCTGACGCGCCTGGGCGTGCCGCCGGCCATGCTCAACGTGCTGCGGGGGGTCCACGAGCAGACTTTCTACGTGGTGCGAACTGGCGCTGGGGACGCCTCCCCCTACGTCCTCCAGCGGGGCCTGCGCGAGGGGTGCCCCACCAGCGGCATTCTCTACACGGTGTTCCACAACGTCGTGCTGTGGAGGCTACGGGAGGAGCTCCGAGACGAGCAGAAGGTCCACCTGCACTTCAACCGCGCCCGGCCCCTGCCGCGCGCCACCGAGCAGCCAGACGAGCGAGACTTGACCGCTTTCGTGGCGCACTTGCTAGCCTTCGCCGACGACACTACGATGCTCACGAGGAAGCAGCACGCCAGGGCGGTAGAGGACATGGTCATTCGGATCATGGGTCGCTTTGGGGAGACTGTGCACCCGGGGAAGACCGAGAGGCTCTGCGCCGCCGCTAAGGGCGAGGCCGCACCGCCCGGCTTCCTCACCGCTGTCCGACTGCTGGGGGCATGGTTCGTCACCGATGGTGGCACGGAACAGGACGACACCAAGCGCCTTCAGGCCGCCCGCCTCGTGTGGCGACGTCTACACAAGCAGCTCCCGAGGCTGCGGCTGAGCAGCCGCCTCCGCGGCTCGGTGGTCCAGGCGACAGTTGTGGCCTCACTGCTTTACGCTTGCGAAGTGCGCCCCTTCACGCCCGCGTCCTTGAGGGCCTACCAGCTCTTCATCAACAGGGTCATCCGCGGCATCACGTACGACCCCAAGCGTGGCGGGACACGGGCGATGGAGGGCGTGTGCACTACGGTGGACTTGCGCATTGAGGCTGGGATCGACGCCGTTCCCGTGCAGGTTCTGCGGCGGCAGCTCGGCTACCTGGGCCACCTCGCCCGCTACCCTGGCGACCGTCTGGAGCAGCACATGCTGGGTTTGTGGCTCGCCCCGCAGCCAGAGGGCGATGGCGCTGTCGACGCTGGGGCCCGGGCTGCGAGGACGCCTTCTCTCCGCGATACTTATTGGAAGCTGATCGTCCGCGTGATGGGGCTGACCGGGCTGCCAGAGGAGGAATGGTCCACCCGCTGGGTCGAGGTCGCCCAGGACCGCCCCGAGTGGCGCCGCCTTTCGGACATCCTCGTGCACTACGAGCGCCAGCGGTGGGACGCAGACGCGTGGGCCAACCGACACTCCGAGTCGGCCACCGCCTACCGCGCCGAGCTGCAGGGGGCGCAGTGCGACCCATTCACAGGAGAGCGGCAGTGTCCACGGTGCGGGGTGTGGTATGTCAAGCTCGGCAACCACATGCGCCTTTGCGACGGCACCCCGCCAGCCCGCGTCGTGCCGAGGATCGTGAACGGCCAGGCCGCCGGCTCCCGTCCTGCTCGCCCACCACAGGCCGCGGACGCCGCGGAACGACACGTGCGCCGCCACCAACCGCCCCCGCCGCCCGCCCCTGCTGTGCCGGCGCAGAGGAGACGGCTGCGCGGCAAGCAGTCCCCGCCGGCGGCACCTGCCCCGGTCGCCGCTCCCATTGCGGACGCCGCCTACGCTGCAGGAGGTGCGGGAGGGCGCGGCTGCTGGCACGGCCGGAGGCACGGACTCGAGCCTCCCGCGCAGGCGCGCCGGCGCCAGGGGCGGCACGACGCCCACCTAGTCGTACCAGCGGTCCTCGCTGGTCATGGCGGCGGAGGAGGACGCGGAGGAGCCCCACCAGCAGCTGGAGGAGGAGGAGCAGGCGGAGGAGGCACAGGAGGCGCAGCCGGAAGAGGCGCAGCTGCCGTCCGAGGAGGAGGCGAAGGAGGAGGAGGAGGAGGAGGAGGAGGAGGAGGAGGCGCTGAGGGAGAAGGAGGCGATCCAGCACAGGGAGCGGGAGCAAGAGGTGGAGGAGGTGGAGGAGGAGGCGCTGCTGCCGTCAGCGGAGGAGGAGGAGGAGGAGGAGGAGGAGGAGGAGGAGGAGGAGGCGCAGAGGGAGCAGGAGGTGATGCAGCACAGGTAGCGGGAGCAAGAGGACCGCATGAATACGCAGAGGGCGAGGAATTGGCACCGCTTCTCAAAGACGGCGCAGGGTGTCCCTTCTGCGGAGGTCGGCACAACAACCCTCACGCATATTGTCCTTCCGCTCCGTATCGCATGTGGCTGGGCGCGGTGATGCATAAGCGAGCCCGCCGGCATTCATTCGAGGAGCGCCAGCAGTTTTCGTATGCTTGTCCTTCGTGTGCTCACACTTGGCCTACTTTGCGTGCCGTTGCCGCCCACAAAGTGCTGTGCGATCTCCGCCGTGCCACAGCGGGCTTGCCTCGGGTCGGCCCGGCCGGGGCGGCCATTCATGGCAGCGCGTGGCGAGGCGGCCGCGGCCGCGGGAGGGCTCGCAGCCGCGCGAGCGGCCGTGGCGCAGGCCCGCCAGCGAGGAGAGGACGACGCGGCGCAGGGCCGGGGGCAGGCAGAGGCGCCGCGACGGCGCGTGCGGGGCCGCCAGGGCGAGCCGGCCGCGGCCGCTGCGGCCGGCGATGCCGCCCACGCGCCGGCCCAGGCGCCAAGACAGCAGCTCATGCTGGAGGACGGCCCCCACGACGCCGGTGGCGGTGGTGCCCCCCGCGCAGCGGCAGCAGCGCCAGCGGGGGCCGCGGGGGCGCCCCCGCCTGCCCTCGCGCCGCCTGCCGGTGGCGCTCCGCATGCTGCTGCGCCTGGCCCCGCTGCTGGCCGCGCCGCTGCTGCCGGCGGCGGAGGAGGCGGCGGCGGCCGGGCCGCTGGCGCAGGCGGCGGCAAGGGCAACCGCCGCCGCGGTGGCGGAGGCGGCGGCGGGGACGGAGGCGGCGGCGCCGCAGGCCGCGGAGGTGGCGGCCCAGGGCGCGGCCGAGGCCGTGGGCGCGGCCTCGTCGCCCCCGTGGAGCAGGTCGTGGAGGCCCTCGTCACCCTCGGGATCAGCCACGAGCGGGGGCTCAACATGCACACTGACAGGGTTGGCTCCATGGTGGTACTCCGAGACGAGGATCTCGTCAACGAGGTGTGGGACCTCCGCGACGAGTGGCGCCGGGCCGACAGGGCGCGCAAGGAGGCGCTGCCCGCCGACGCCAACGGCCCCCTGCCAGCCCACCCAATGGGCAGCCAGCGCAGCATGCTCTTCGCGGCCGTGTGCGAGGCCGCCGCCGGCAAGCTCCAGGCGGGCACGCCCGGCCACGCGGCCGCCACGCAGCTTGCCCAGACAGCGCCCGCGGAGCTGGACAGCCAGCTTTTCCGCTTCAAGCCGCGCCACGAGGAGCCGATGGCGGGCAGGCCCTGGGTGTGGTACATCGTGTACTCGATTCGGGTCGCCCCGGGCTTCCTGGACGCCCTCGCCTCCCTCCAGGCAGCCAACATGGAGGGGTTGCGGTTCGGGGTGCTCCACACGGACGACGGCCCCATTGTGCAGTGGCTGCGAAGGCAGCGCTAGACCGGCGGCCGACGGTGGGGCGCGTGGAGGCCGCCCGACGCCCGCGTGCTCCTTCTGGCCGCCGGCAACACATCCATCCCAGAGGAGGAGGAGGCGGAGGAGGAGAAGGAAGAGGAGGAGGCGGCCGCAGCGGACGCCGTCAGGCTTGCCGCCCGCTTGCGCCGCTCCTCCGGCATGCCCAGCCCGGCCCCTCGGGGGCGTGCGCCGGCCTGCACGGCCGCCCCGGCGGCGCAGGCGGCGGCGCGGTGCGCGCGGCCGCCGCCAGCGGGCCGGCGCCTTGGCTGGAACGGCAACGACAACGAGATCCCGCCCCACGGCACGCCCCTCGCGCGCTGCGGCCAGCGCGGGCGCCCGGGAGGCAGGGCACCTACGGCGTCTTCGTGGTCGCCGCCTGGGTGCACGCTTCCTCGTCGCCCTGCTGGTGGGCTCTGAGTGCTACCACATGCTACTGCAAAACCCTCAAAAAGACGGGCCGCGGGCGCAAGCTCAGGGGGTCCGCGCCGCGATGCCACGTGCAAGGCGCACCGTTGTGACCCAACACTACTCGACGGAGGGCCGCCGCCACAGCCTCAGGCTGGCGCGAGATCAGAGTTCGAGTGCCCCCCATACCTGTTCTGTAACACCAGCGGTGCCTATACCTACACGACCACCCTTCGGGTGTTAAGGAGGTTCGGGGGGGGGGAGGAACCAACGTCTCACTCGATCGGTCTCACAATCGATCTCACTATCGATCTCACGATCGATCTCGCTCGATCGATCTCACTCGATCAATCTCACAATCGATCTCCCTCGATCTATTTCATTCGATCGATCTCACAATCGATCTGACTATCGATCTCACAATCGATCTCACTATCGATCTCACGATCGATCTCACAATCGATCTCATATTCGGTCTCAGGTCATACTATCAATATCACAATCGATCTCACAATCGACGTCATCATCATCATCAACAGCATCGTCATCAACGTCATCAACATCATCAACATCATCATCATCCTCATCATCATCATCATCATCATCATCATCATCATCATCATCGGGACACCATCATCATCATATTCATCATCACCACCTCATCACCATCATCATCAGCATCATCATCACCATCACCATTCTCATCGGGGCACCATCATTGTCACGATCATCATCACCAAAACCATCATCATCGGGACAACATCATCATCAGCAGCGGAACACCACCACCACCACCATCATCATCATCATCATCATCAGCATCATCTCATCATCATAATCATGAACAACACCATCAACATTATCATCACCGGGACACAATTACCATCATCATCATCATCATCATCATCATCATCATCGGGGCACCATCATCGTCACCATCATCATCACCATCACCATCGTCATCATCATCACCGAGACACCATAATCATCATCAACATCAGCATCATCAGCATCATCATTACCATCATCATCGGGCAACCATCATCAAAATCAGCATCATCACCTCATCATCATCCTCATCATTAATATCATCATCATCGGGACACCATCATCGTCATCATCATCATCATCATCATCATCATCATCATCATCGGGACACCATCATCATCATCACCATCATCATCATCATCAACAGCATCATCATCAACCTCATCATCACCGTCATCATCGGGACACCATCATCATCGTCATCATCATCATCATCATCGACTCCATGACTCCATCATCATCATCGTCATATCATCATCAGCATCACCAGGATCATCAACATCATCATCATCATCATCATCATCATGGTCATCATCACCATCGGGACAACATCATCATGATCATCATGAGCAACATCAGCATCATCAGCATCATCGGGACACCATCATCATCACAACCATGGCCATCATCATCACCATCATCATCATCATGATCATCAGCATCGTCATCATCATCATTATCATCATCATCGGGACACCATCATCATCACCACCACGACCATCATCATCAACATCATCGACATCATCATCATTATCATCACCACCACCACCATGATCATCATGATCATCATCATGATCATCATCATGATCATCATCATGATCATCATCATGATCATCATCATGATCATCATAATCATGATCATCATCATCATGATCATGATCATGATCATGATCATGATCATGATCATGATCATGATCATCATCATCATCATCATCACCATCATCATCACTATCATCATCATCATCATCATCATCATCATCATCATCATCATCATCATCATCATCATCGGGACCGCGACAGGACACTGGGGACACCGGCGAGACACCGCGGCACCGGCCCCCAGAAAAGAAACAGTTGGTCCGGCCGCGCCTCAGCCGGAGGCGGGACACCGGCGGGACACCGCGCGGCACCGGCCCCCGGAAAGGAAACATTTGGTCCGGCCGCGCCTCAGCCGGAGGAGACTTTCTTCTCGCCCGCCCACGCAGCTTCGCCTCGCCCGCACGCACGGCACGCACGAACACGAAACTGAAACCGATTTCCAGGTAGGGGGGCTCTCCGTTCCACTTCGATCTCACCCCCTCACCTCCGACGGTTACCCGGGCCAGACGCTTGGCAGAATCGTGTGGCGGTATGTGCAAGCGGCAGCTTGGCCAGCTGCGCGCAGGGAAACTCCCCTGGCCAAGAGGCCAGATGATCACGCGGCCCTGGCCAGTGATGGCCGCACCCACGGAGCTCGAAGGCACGTGGCTGGAGCCACTCAAGCTCGGATCGGCTTCCGCCCAGGCGGCTTCGGCGTATGCGGGGGCAAGGGAAGGTTTGAAGCGCAGGGCGAGGATGGGAGCAGTCCCTGCGCGCGCCCCGTCTACGCTCGTTGCACCCGCCGCTGGGCGGCACTGCCAGGACAGCCAAGGGGAGGGATTGGTGGATTTTGGAGCGGGGCGGGAAGAAAGGTCGTTTCCTCCCTTGCTTCCTGTTGCTTTCTGGCCTCAAGGGCCCATCCTTCCACACTTGCCCGTCTTCGATCGTTGACCGGAATCGGGTTGCAGCACAGAGCGGGCAAAAGGCGCCCACGACTGCCCAACAAGGCCCCAGGACGGCCCTGAGAAGACCCTCAGGGTGGGAAGGCGAATCCGGAATCCGAGGCGCCTGCCCCAAGAGGCCCTCGGCAGGTCCCCTTGCCTTCTCGAGTAGTTGCCACCAAGAATGCTGCGGTGGCACGGTGGCGGAATTGCAGGAGGCAGCTGAATGAAGGCATAGCAGTCCTGCCTGAAACCGATGAGTACTAATATGAGCCTCATTGCCGACTCAGTGGAGACGCGAGGTGTAGCATGTGACAGCTCTGCGGGCGGTGCTCGCCATGTCGGCATACCACGTGCTTCGCTGGGCACGGCGGCAGGTCTGCCGCCGGCATCTGGAGAACCGACACTCCTGAAGCATACAACCATCGCTAACAAGCGATGGATCGGCGACGCGCCCCCGAGAGTGGTGAAACGGCACGCTCGTGGGCGAGAGCTCGCCATCGCTCGGACGTCCATTCCCCGCGAGAGATCGCCATCGCTCGTGGGCGAGAGCTCGCCATCGCTAACAAGCACGGGGGCAAGGGCTGCGAGTGGCACCACCACCTTGCACGGCCGTGCCCTGGGAGCTCGGAGCCCACCATGTTGCTTCGCTGCTCGCCTCCCCGCCCCCGTTTCGCCCCCGGCACGCGGAGCCCCGCCCCGCCCCCGGCCCCCCCGCCCCCTCCTGCGCCCTGGCCGCCCTGGCCCCTGGCCCCCTCCACTCGGCCACACGCGAGACGTAAGAGTGGTCCTGGGCAAGAGTGACCTTTGGTGCGCGGCTCTCGGGGGCCGCGAAGGGAGCCCCATCCAAGCGCGCTGGCCAGCGCTGGGAGGAACCCACGTGAGCACCCGCACCAGAGGTCACTCCAGCGAAGGGCCACTCTCACGTGCAGTCGATCCACCCACGAGGCCCTGGCCCCCTCCTGCCCCCTGGCCCACAGGAGAACTCCAGCCCGACCCTGGCTCGGGGATCCACTGGCCCGGGCCAATCCTGACCTGGGTCAGTCGGGCTGTGCAGGCTCCTGCAGGCTCCCGCAGGATCCTGCACGCGAGCCCGGGTCAGTGCACCCAATGGCTCTGCAGGATGCTGCAAGATCCTGGCGCTCTGACTGACCCCCGCTGGCGCCGACCCCTGTCTCCTGAGCCCCGACTGGCCCCCACCCTCGCTGGGCCCGGCCCGCGGCCCCTGTGTTGGGCCCCCGCCCCCCCTGGCCGTGGCACATGCCCTCGCTCGTCGTCGCTCGTCGGCTTCTGCTGCCCAAGCCCACGGGGCCCCGCCGTGCCTGGGCCCCACAGCCTCCCAGGCCCTGGCCCCCGCCCTGACCCGGCCCTGGCCCCAGAGATCTCTCCTCTCGCTGGTCCTCCTCCTCCTCCTCCTCCTCCTCCTCCTCCTCCTCCTCCTCATCCTCATCCTCCTCCTCCTCCTCCTCCTCCTCCTCCTCCTCCTCCTACCCCTCCCCCTCCTCCTCCTTCCCCCGTTGCCCACGGGGCCTCGCCCTGCCCCGGACCCGTGCCTCTGGACCCCTCCGTGCCCTGCCCAGGGTCACGGCCTCGCCGCCGCCTGGCACCCGCAGCGTCCCCCATGGCTCCCACGCCCGCGTGTGGGCGGAGGAGGAGGAGGAGGAGGAAGAGGAGGAAGAGGAGGAGGAGGAGGAGGAGGAGGAGGAGGAGGAGGACCAGTGTAAACCCAAGAGTCATCAACGATGTTGGAGTAAACCTTCCCTCCAAGCTCCTTCTTCATAGGCCCTATCACGGTTCATCTTCATTGATGGAACTGCCTCGTTGGAAGACACCCGTTTGAAGACCCTGAAGCATGCCAAAACAGTGTTCTCAAGATTCCGACGCCACGGATCAACCTGACTGTTGCGTCTTGACGATCCTGAATCATGCCAGAACGCTATTCCTAGGACTTCAACACCGAGAATCACTGTAACAACTGCACTCGCATAATTCTGAACCCTTCCAAAACACAATTTCTGGTACGTTGATGACGGGAACCCGTGAACCTCTTGAACCTTTTATAAATGAATGTGCGCGGCGCTAAAGCGAGAGCCACATCTTGAAAAGGAACCACCCTCATTCCGTGAAAATCTTGCACATGTTTAAAACGAACGTGCACCGTGCTAAGGCGAAAACCCAATTTTGAAAACCACCCGCCCTCAATCCGTGAAACTCTTGCAAACTGTTAAACGTAATGAACGCCGCGCCAAAGCGAGAGCCACATTTTGGAAACCACTCGCCCTCAATCCGTGAAACACTTTTTGTATGACAAAACGGATGTGCGCGACGCTAAGGCGAGAACCACCATTTGAAAACGATCCGCCCTCAATCCGTGAAACCCTGGCAAACTTTTATGAAACAAATGTGCGCCGCGCTAAGGCGAAAGCCACATTTTGAAAACGACCCGCCATCCACCTGTGCAATTGTTGCCAATGTTTAACTTCGGAGTCATAAGTGGTGAGGAAGTCTCAGGCGAAGCGCCCGGCCCGCCCTAAAAACTGGCTCCGGGGTGCGACAGGGAGAAGTTATGTATAAGGAAAGGGAATGGAGGCGGAAGAGGAGGACCATATCGATGTGCAGCATGAGAGAGAAAGATCGCGCGAGCCTCGTTCCAGATGGCGAGCCAATCCTTCACAATCATGGCCTGGGCAACCGTTCCATCCTGACTCTCTCCCTGGGGAGACCAAAAAGTAGCGACACCGCTACTCCACGGACCTCTCCCGGTGTACGTTCTGACAAAAAGATTTCGAGGCGAATCCAGCGGTGGCGACTAGACCCTCCGAGGCGCAAAAGGGAAAACGAGGCAAGGGTAGCGGTAATTATGGGTGCCTTTTCCTCCTCCCACTCCCGCCCAGCAAAGCCTGCCAGTCTCTTTGGAAGACTGCCCGAAGTCTGGCCAACGCCTGGCTCAAGCCCCCCCCTCGCTTAGGCCCTGGCCTGGTTCTGCATGCGTGGGCGTGCCGCCCCGGTCGGCAGCGTGCAGCGGTGTCGCGCCAGGCGCGGGCCACACCAGGTACGGCCATTACACGTCGAACCACGAATGTCATGTGAGCGACGAAAAGAACGGAGTCGTACACGAGATGGCACAGCGACCTTACGCCGCGGCTTACGCAGGCCGCCAGCGCGGCAAGCCAGTGTGGAGACGAGGGCGCTTACGCGCGACCTTATGCGGGCAGCCTGCGCGCCAATGTCGGCACAGACGAGTCAGTTGTTCTGCGACGCTCATGTGAGACGTGCGTCGCTAGATGAGCTGGCGGGGACACGCGAAGCATGCAAGTTCGCCTCCAAATCCCGGCTCAGAACTCTCCTCTGGACGCTCCCTCAGATCATCACACATCCCTCCCTGGATCTTCCCTGCACCGCGAGCTCGAGGAGGAAGACGAAGGAAGACGGAAACCGGGAAGGGTGGCCAAGGGGCCTCCCAGCGTCAAATCCTCTCGCCACCAGGGCCCGAGGTAAGGCCGCCAGCAACCCCGCCCACTGGGCTCACCGTGGCCTTGGCAAACCAGTGATGCCATCTCAGCCCGCCAGCCAGCACAAAAGTGACAAGCTCTTGGAATTCCTCCCTCGTTCGTACTCCTCTCGCTCCAGACTGAACGCGGAAACGTCGGTGTCGGCCTTGGACACCGTGCATCTTGGCCACGGTTAATGTGTAGACGATCCTTGCGAATCGGCGACGGTCGGCAGGGACATGGCCGACATCGGCTTCGACAGAAAACGACATGTCGGTCGTGGTCACCATTTTTCGTCCCTCGACTTTGCCATGTCGGTTGGATTTGGGAAGCGGGGGGGGGACCGCCGCGAAGCAGAACAAGGAGTTTCCCGCCCCGTCCTCCCTGGGGGCCTGGCTGGCAGACTTCCTCCAGCCCGCACGCCCGCCCCGCCAACAAAAACGGAAGAGGCGAGATGAGAAGAACGAGGAGATACGAGGACGAGGGATGATGATAATATGAAGGAGGAGAGAGGAGGGAGGAGCATAACGGCGAAGAGAGAAGAGGAAAGAAGAATGGGGAGGAGGCTGGATGAAGGGGGGAAGGATAATGATATGAGGGGCTGCATGATGGTTATGATGCATGCTGCTGACGGTGATGCCGATGTTGATGGTGGTTTTTGGTGCTGACTATTGCGATGACGACAGGGTGACGTTTACACTGGGGATGATGACGGTTATGACGATGAGGATGATGCTTTTGGTATCATCGATGATGAAGATGACGACGATGGTGATGACATGTAACCCCCCTGGGGCCAAATACCATGTGCTTGCATCCGCGGGCGAGGGCGAGCAAGCACGAAACGAACAACCACGAGCGAGGTCACGACCCTGCCGCGGCCAACCCGTAACCTGTGGGCCGTATTCCTTAAATGCGCTTTGGGCTTATTTTCGGACGGGGGCTTCAACCCATAGCGTTGCGGCCCACTCTTCGCTCCGACCAAGGCTGCCGAAGAAAGCTATCTGATCCGCTGCTACCTGGGACAGGGGGCCAAAGGCGATGTTTGTTTGATCCGTGGCAAGGGCGAGCGAGCACGAGGCGAAAAAACAGGAGCGCGGCCAAGCCGCTGCCGCGGCCAACCTGCACTTTGCATGCCCGCACCCCGTGGCCACATTGCCCGCCAAACACACGCACACACACACATTCACACACACACACATTCACACACACACACACACACACACACACGCACGCACGCACGCACGCACGCGCACGCACACACGCACGCGCACGCACACACTCGCACGTACACATCACTACGTACACTTCGTTTCCACCCACAGGAGCCGAAAATCCAACGAAAACCTGGCAAACAGTCGCTGGGGACCAAACGCGGCAAACCGTCTTTTGGCGCTGCGAATCCCAAGGAGATATTTACGCCCATTCGGAACCCATCAGAGAAACAGAAGGTACCCCCAAGAGGACCCCAGAGACACCCAAGAGGCCCCAACATGCCGCGATGAGACCCCCGAGATGTCTCCCAAGAGACCCCGGCAAGCCTAGAGAAAGGTGTAAAATGCGGTAGGCGCCCTTTGGCCTTGCCACATGCTCCCCGGCCTTTGGCCGGGGCGCGCGTGGACAGCCTGCTTGGAGGCCGCCGTGGCAGCTGAATACTGCCCTCCGGCGCCTTCACGAGCTTCAGTCAAACCGCCCACCCCCCCCAAAGGAAGGAGGGGCGTCGACGGGGCCGCCGCCTCCGCCGCCGCCGCCGCCCGGGCCACCGGGGGAGGAAAAGGCCGCCCGTCGTCGCAGCCACCGCGACGTTGGCCGCGGAGTGCTGCGCCTCCCAACAAGGCCTCTCATGCCGTGTGGGAGCCTGGCAGAGAAACGGCATGGTAATTTTCCCTGTGCTTCCACGCAGAATGGCCCTCCAGGCCGCTCCGGCGGGGCCCCACTGGAGGGCGGAAACCGTAGACTCGGACATCGAACCTCCAACTCGGGTCTGGAGACCGACCGCCACTCTGTCGCTGCGGGCCCGCCTCTTGGCCAACGTGCAATCAGAAACCCAGGCGACCGCGAATCTTGCGGAAACCGCTGATGATATGAGCTGGCCACGCGGTTCCAGGACGCGCCAAACTGCGACGCGCTAAAAGAGAGGGGCGTGGGCCTTTCCGGCACAGGAGCATCTAGTTACAGCGGCCACCCAGGAACTGCCGATCTAAACGGTGGGGGAAGGCCGGCGCCCTCCAGGCCCAAAGTCGAGTCGGCCTGACGCACGGGCTTCCCCAACAAGCACATGCGCGGGAGAAGAAACAGAGCATGCTGAGCGCAGAGTTCCACAAGAAACGAGGGTGAAATCCGAGGCATCTCGCGCGCGCCGCGAAACCGAAAAAGCCACGCAGCCACGGCGAACCGATGCGACAGGTCTCGAAACCGAGAAACGGCGCCCCCCACGCCCCCGCACGAGCGAAGCCCGAACCCACCCTCGCAAACAGCTTAATACGACTGCGCGGTCAAATCCTAGGGCAGGGTGAGCAGGATGATACATCAGAATGACACCGCAGCCTGCAGCTCTCCACCCACCCGCGATCGAGCGGACACGGGCGCGTAATCCAATGGAGATGCCGCGCCAAAGCACCTGCGCCGCCCACATGCCGCGGCCAGAAACGCGGTTGAGAACTGCGGCGACGGCCTCGAAGGGGTCGCGGCTGCCTCGCGCGCAGCCAAGTCGGCGAGGCTGAACGGTTTTTCCGGCGAGGCTTCGTCCACGAGCAGAACCAGCTTCTGCTCGACCAATTGGCCGACATCGAGGACGGCGGAGTCTGACTGGTGCAGACTGCGACGCAGCCGGGTGCGCTTGGTGCACCTCTTCAACGAGGCGTCGGTCGCCCAGCGGCCTCGCGCCTCGACGTTGACCAGTGGCCAGCGGGGCTCGAGCCAGGTTGCTGCTGGCGCCGCTGTGCCGCAGGGCTCGCCGCGACGGCTGCTGGTGGTCCTCGATGCCCAGGCGGCACACGGCGTCGTTGAAAGCCAAGCGGGCCTCGTCCGCCGAGGCAAGCTACAATGGCGTCGATCGCAGGTTCTCACACGGGCCGCAGCGCGGCCAAGAGGGGCTAATACACACTCGCACAGATCCTGCGACGCGATCTCGCTGGCGAGGCCGTTTTGCCCAGGGCGCCCACCTCGCCGACTTAGCAACGATGCCGCACTCGCAGTGGGGCGCGCCCGACGCTGTGGCCGGCGTGGCCAGGAAGCGCCCCTGGGGCCTCGCTGCTTCTCCGAAGGCCGAAGAGGCCGCAAACGACGTCAGGATGGACGCGCGATCTCGATCAGCACCCGCACCAGCAGTGCCCCTCTGGCGCTGCCCTGATTGATGGCGGGCCGCGGCGGCGGCGACCGCGCGGTCGGCGGACCCAGCTTCTCCTAACTAGCGGCCCAACGCCCTTGAGGCCCTCGGTGCGGGCGCCCTGTCCGAGCCCAGCCCCGTGCCGGAGGGCCGTGGTGGCCGCGCGGCTGGTCGCCGCTCCGACGGCCAGGCGCATCGGGCAGACCGTCAGCATCGCAAGAAGCTCGGCCGTCGACGTCGGTCTGGGCCCCTGCCAGCAGCGCCGCCCGCCGGAGCGGCAGGCGCGCTGGGCGCAGAGGCGGCCTGCCCGAGCCGTCGCAGCGGCCACTCCCAGCTGCCAGCTGCGGCAGGCTCGCCGCGGGCTGGCGGCAGCGAGGTAGCCCTGGCGGCCGACGGTCCTTCCCCCGCACGGCTGCCGTCCGCTGTCTAGCTGTCTTCCTCGCGCCAGTGAGGGCCGACGAAAAATCCGCGCCTCGACGGGCCATCCAGCGGATTGCGCTCCGACGGGCGCGGCGGGCGTAGGTGCGGCCTCCGCTGGCCTCGCTGCACATCGGCAGAGCGGCCGCTGCAGGGCCGGCGTGCGGCCGCGGCCGTTGCCCGCGCTGAGGGCCAAGGCCATGCTGTCCACGAGCAGGCGTAAACTGGGACGGTGGATGCCTGAGGTGCGGAGGTGCTCAGGCCCGAACTACATCGCGCCTCCCTCTGGCTCCAGGACGTTTCTTCGGAAAGACCCGGCTCGAATGGGCGGCCACCCAGTTGGCGGGCTCGCTCCCGGGATCCTTGCCTCGAAGGTCCTCGAGGTGAGATTGGCAACTGCCCTTCAAAATGCTCGCGAAATCGTTACGCTCCGAAATGGTGAACCCCGAGGCCTCCGTTATTGGATCCAGCTGCGGAGCGCCGTCGGGGTGCCCAATGCGTAACGCGACGATGGGCCTGAATGGCATCTGCGAGCCGATGCCGATATGCCACAATTTCTCGCAGACAACGCCAACGGCACGAACCTGGCCAGCACAACTCCGGCAACGGCAGCCTCCCACGCCGGCAGCGAGTTGGAGGCCGGAGGCCACTGCGACGGGGGCCCGTCCAAGCCGCCGCGCAGCGGCCCAGAGGGGCAGCGACGCCTGCGCCCAGGACTGCTCCCGAGCCACGCT